AATGGAACCGAAGCCCAGGAACTGAGACTATCTTTTCCTATAAAAGAAGGAAATGCCACCCGCCTCAAGACCACAGCACTGTCAAATCTCAGGAGAAATACAAGAGTCACTGTTGTCTAAGGCTGGAGAAAATGGGCTTAGATAGCACTTTATAGTACAACAGTCATAAGCAGAAGCCCCTCAGCCACAAAATAGGTTGGTCAAAGGGGATCAAGTGAACTTCTCATCTTTAAAATCTGTCAAAGGCGGAGTAAATACAAAGACCTTTATACAATGACCTTTCTGAGGTCACTTTCTGACCTAACGTTCGGGTTCCCCAGTGGAAAATGCCAAGTCAAATGTATCTAACCAAAGCAGACCAGTTGCTGTCAAGTCCATTCCAACTCATGGTGACCTGATGTGTGCTAAGCAGGACTACACTCCATTGGGTTTTCAAGGCTGTGACCTTTTGGAAGCAGACTGTCAGACCTTTCTCTCGCTGTACCTCTGGTTAGGTCTGAACCGCCAACTTTTCGGTTAGTTGTGAAGTGCTTAACCATTCATGCTACGTAGGGCCCAAATCTACCTAACACCCATACAATTCACCTTCATTATATTCCACCTCCAGCGCAGTAATGATGATGATGATGGCACTCTGGTGGTTCAGTGGTAGAATTCTTGCCTTCTGTGAGGGAGACCTGACCAAGGCAACTCGTATGTAGCCACCACCCATCCGTCCGTCAGTGGAGACTTACATTTTGCTGTGATGCCTAACAGGTTTCAGCAGAGCTTCCAGACTAGGATGGACTAGAAGAAATGCCTGGTTATCTGCTTCCAAAAAATCAGCCAATGAACACCCTATGGGTCTCGATGGTCTGATCGGCAACCAATCATTGGGATAATCCAGGACCAGGCAGTGTTTCATTCTGTTGTCCAGGGATCAACTTGACAGTAGTTAACAACAAAAATGATGACGATTAAGTCATAATACCTAGCATTTCTATATTGTTTCCTATGTGTCAGCAGAGTTCCTGAGCCCGTTAAACTGAATCTTCATAGCAACCCTCTAAGATAGCTGCACTTTTTGCTAATTATCCTCATTTCATAGTTGAGGAAACTGAGGCACAGGTCACACACAACTGGGAAGTGGCAGGACTGAAATCTGAGCCCAAGCTATCTGTAAGACGCTATATGGTAACAGAGCTTTTTTCAGGGGTGAACCTGGATGGAAGGGCAGAACCAATGTTAGGAGTACATGCAAAAAAGATCTGATGCTTGCCTTTACCAGAAGATGCCAAGGTAACTCCAGAGCAATGTTCTTAGAGTCTGTCTGGACCACCTGCTTCTCAATCACCAGAGTGTCAGCCAACTTCAAGGGTGGAGCCAAGGAATGTACAAACCTCAGGGAATCCCTCAGCGAATTCTCACCCATCTAAAATGAACAGGACTAATGCTCTGGAACCACTGCTGCCGAGACCACACACACAGAGGACAGGAGACACCACTAGCAATAGGGAGATTTTTCATCCAGGTCTAGCTGTTTCTCTACCCTGCAGAATTCGCTTCTCTCCTCTGCAATGATCCCCGTATGTATGCACATGACAGGACACCTGGGAATCATTTTGTTCTTGAAATGCTAATAGATTTAATTCCACTGAACAACTAGGAGCAATTTCATGATAAGAAAACATGGTTGTATTAATAAGAAATTCACAAAATTATAAGAACAATGTGTTCTTATCCTCAATGTGTCTAGAAAGAAGGCCACTGCTGAGCTTCTTCATCAATGTGTATTTGCTGCGTGTCCCTCTCTTTTGTCCTCTGCTGGCAACCACTCTCCATGGCAAGCAGGAACCAAAAGTCTGCAAATTCCATCCAATACTTGAAACATTTCTCTAAGTGGAGCCAGTCACCCCCATGGCAAGGCTTCTCCAACATTCAGCCCAAGAAACCACTGCTTTCATGCGGGATTTACTGTTCCTATGCACAGATCCGGGAGCTCTGGTAGCATAGTGGCTAAGGCACTTGACTGCTAACCAGAAGGCTGGCGGTTCAAACCCACCAGCCACTCCTCGGAAGGAAG